TTTTGAGGTTGGATTAGACGTTTCATTACATCAATGGCACTTGTCCTACTTGATATTTGATTGACCTGACGTAATGGTGTGTAACTTGTCATTAAAAAGTGACTAAATCGAGATGGGCAAAGATGAATCATTAAACTGTTTAAAGAATTATATAAAGTTGATGGAAATCTAAGGTTTGCAGTAAAAGCAGACATTGAAGAAGATATTATAGAATTCATATCATATACAGTTGCTTCATCAACTCCAAATTGTGTGTGAGCAATATCTGCTAATGCCGAGTTATCAAATACAACAACTGATTGACATTCTGTGATTAAACGTCTTAGAGTTAATATAGAATTATAGGGAGAAACAACAACATCGGGATTTTCTTTTACCATTACACTAAATGAAGTTAGTATATTCTTTGGATACTTTTCACTAATCATTTCCATAATTTTACTTCCTAAACCACTTCCAGTTCCTCCACAAATAGAATGACAGAAGAAAAATCCTTCTAAACTATCGCAATGTTCTACCTCTCTATCAATAATTTCTTCTATCTCACTCATTTTCTCTGTGGTGTAATATCCATTTGCCCATGAATTTCCCGCTCCATTATTTGTTGGTATAATAAAGTTTTCTGGATTATAAAAATTACTCCACACACTTGTTCTTATTGAGTCAAGCACTCGTGGTTCAAGGTCAATGTTAATGGATCTTGGGACATACCGTTGGTCGTCTGCTTGATAAAAAAATACATCTTTTCTGTCATCAATAAATTCATTTGTAGATAATGACCCATCAGGTAATATTCCATGCTCTGAACATATTTTCTTAAAAAAGTCACTTCCTAACTGATTTCCACATTGTCCAATATTTAAAGTAATAATCTCTCGTGGCATCTTCACTAAAATCTGTTTGATTTGGAAAAATATTTTTCTTTTTCTTTTCTCTTTTTATTATTAATAACATAAATAATAAAAATACTGTTATAAAAACTAAAACAATCAAAAACCATTATAGAGAGAAAGATATTATCAATTATTCAATTCTAACGTAAGAAATTCTTCTGTATCTAATTTTTTTTTATAATTCCTTTTTGTTTTTTAAATAATATTACAAAAAGTTTATGACTCTGTAGTCATCTTTATTTATTTTAAAATTATTTTCATGATTAAACTCTTTTACATTTAGACCGTTTGTTCAATTCTGTGATGAACTACTAAAGAATTATTTTTATTTTCATTCCATAGCTTGAATATTTCCATAACTTATTTTCATCCAGAAACACGATGCTGTATATATATAACTTCAATGTTTGTATCTTTTTAACAAGAAACATGAAATTACCCTGTTTTTATTATGTTGATATAATTAAAAATTTTAGTCTCTCTAATCAATACCTCAATTAATACTTTTATATAACCCAATGTATATCTTTTTTTCACTACTATCATTCTTTTTTACAAGTTATGTTGTTTTTGTTGTGGTGATGCTAATTTACACTATACATTCTTGACTATTCTATTTTAGTTTTTATTATAATTTATCATTTTCTTAATATTTTTCTTTGTTAAGATTCCTTATCTTAACATTCCTTCATGATTATTACAGACATATTCATTGTTATTGTTAGCATTAACTTTTAAGTCCATAATATATAAAAAATCCAATGTATTAAATAGAAACCAAAAAGATTTATTGAACAATCAAGTATTGAGTCTAGATTTACTAAAATAGAGTGAATATGAGTGTAATATATAAACATGTTCTAACTCAATACTATGATGGCATTCTTTGTTTTTGTTTTAAAAAAATTTCATCACTCTTACTACTCTTAATAATTATATTTTTTTTTTCCACGTTATGAATACCATTAAAATTTAGTTAATTACTTTGTCATATTTATTCTTGTACTACAAATTAATAATTATGAAAGAATAGTACTAATTTTTCTATCAAAGATTGGTTGTTTTAAGTATCTATTTACTGATCTTTTTTTATTACATTTATTCATCTAATACTCTTTTATTACTATCATTGTTCTTTTTTTGGTAAGTTATCCTTAGTTTTAATTCAATTCACATATAAAACACTTTTGAAATATTGCATTTCATTCTTTTCTCGTGGACGTTTTTCTAATATCTTGAATTAATAATAATATATCGTTTAATACTATTGTTTTAAAGAAATGTAGTAATTTACAGTTGAACCAACTCTTTATTTAATTAACTCAACAATATTAGTTTGTTAAAAATACAAAGATGATGTCTAAATTTTATTAGTAAAACCATTAATTAAACTTGTTTGTATATTTTAGGTTTCATTAGTCTTTTATGAGTTTTAAAACAATTCTATTAGTGTATATAAAATTATGTCTCACACATTAAAATCGCGACCAATTTTATTAACAACATAAACATTTCTTTATTTATTGTTGTATTAAAAATAATGAAATTTTCATTATAATCAATTTAGTTTCTTTGATATCTACCATAATTTAATTTTGTTTATTTGTTACAGGTCTAATATTTTTGATTAGTGCGATTTGAAGAGAGCATGATGGTAACATTCTAAACTCGTAATTATCTTATGAAGAAATTCATTCAATCTTATTTTTCTATATTAATTCTCTAAGTTATTGTTAATATTTTATAACCTTATTTATGTTGTGTTAATTTCTTTAATAAAATAGTAAACTCATTTTATCTATTTACAATATATTCTTTCTGTAACATAAATATTATCTCTACCATTTATTATTTCTGTTTTAATTTTTATGAATTTTTAAATCTACTTGTCTTATCTTATAAGAATTGATTTCTATAGTAGTCTAGAAATTAACGTAATGTTGTTAGCGTATTTAGTCCATTTTTATGTTTATTATATTCACTCTTTCAATACTCTTGTTTTTTTGTTCTATAAAGAATTGTTGTGTTGTTAAGTGCTAGTTCTTTCATAATAGATACCTTAAAAACATTTTTATTTAGATTACTGGATTTACTTCTCTTTGTTATCTCTTCTATTTTCTGTTTCAATACTGATTTCATATTTTATTTAACAAATAATAATAAAGAGTATTTTAATATAATTTAACGTTTTACTTCACCAAACTCAACTTAATGATAATATAATTAGTTTAACGTTGTCCTTTCTTTTTCAATGGTTTTCTTCTTTTCATTCATTGAGAATAATTATTCTATTATTAATATGAAACCTTTCACCTCTTTTTTTGTTATTTTTTATATGGTTTTGTTTTTCATAACCTTTTCTTTATTTGTATTATTGTATAATTTTTAACTAAATCGAACAATTTCTATTCATGGTTTTGGAACAGTTGTTCTCCTTTCATAACTTCTTAGCACTTACATTTTAGTTCTGTTTATCTTTATTTTTTAAATATAACTCTGTACACAATTTATAATGTTTCATGGTTCTTTTACTTATAACGTAATGGAGTTTTTCTTTTATTAGAAAACACCACTTTTTGCTATTTACAGATTCACATCAACGTCTGTTGTTTGTTCGGTATTAATTCAGTTAAGTTATATAATGAGACACCACCTCCTTTATTTGAGTATTATTATTTAATTTGTTTATAATCTCAACTTCATTAAATAACATTCAGAGTTCTACAATTTAACTAATTGGTAGTTCTTTACATTTTTAAAACAGATAGAAACTTATTTAAAACTCTGTTTAAATATTAAACAAGATTTAGAATTTTTTAATATAAAGTGTTACACAAAATAGTAAAATATCAAAAAAGATAAACAATTTAGTTCAGAAACAATTCAATGATACAAAACGTATTTAGTAAAATTAGAAATACTAAAATTAACCCACCATGATTTAATTGAATAAAAAAGAAGAAAAATAGATGAATACCAAAAAAATTCAATGAAATAAGAACAGGCTAAAGGAATATTATTCCCAAGGATTCATTCCAGTCATTAAGGAGTCCTTATTTTTTGTATCGAATGAAGGCTCTCTTTTGAATGGTTTAAAGTTTGGATTAAAAAAGCTAATGAATTGACCTACTCTTTGCATTCTAGTATCTAAATTATCAACACGAGATTTTAAGGTAAAAAGCATTTCGTTCAATTGTTGAAGATCATTTTGGGTATGAAGAGATTCCTTTTGTAATTCTCTTAACTTATCTAATAACATTTTATATAATTCAGTATTTTCAGCGTCTGCCTTTTTACTGTGTTGCCTTTGAATACGGGTTAATAATTCTGGTTTATCTTTGCAGAAATTTGGGTGCTGGAAACACTGTCCTTGAGGATGATCAACTTTGTGGAAACCATAAATATTTAACTGACGAACAAATGATGAGAAATTGTTGTGTTTAAAAAATCTAGGTAGGTATTTAGCTGACAATTCTATTGGCTCAAGAACAACAAACCCATTTCTGTTTGGCTCATCACACCATCTCATCTTTATTTGTAAGTTGTAATTAAATTTTTAACTGAAAATATAATAACAAAAGAAAAACTAAAACAATAACACTACACAAACTAAGTGTTGACTTTCAGGATTATTAACAAGTTCATACAATTTAAGAATAAATGGTGTAGGTGTAGTATTCTCCTTAAGCTTATTCATGGCGTTCATTGAATTGGTAGATGAACCAAAAAAACTAACTTTCTAGAAGTCGTATACTTGAAATAATATACCTTATATTTACATTTAATATACTTCCTTTTCCTTCTTTTTTTTTCTTAGAAGAAAATTATTTTTGTTCTAGAATTCTTAATTAATTTTTAAATGAAGACATTATTTTTTTTTATCTAACTAAAACAAGAAGTCAACGATATTCATATTATTCTTTTTAATTTACACTCTCCTTCAAAAATTAGGTAATGGAGATACAAACTGAGTAAATTGGGTGTACTGGTGTAATTCATCTATAGATGGTCTATTTTCTTTATCATTTTTCCAAGACATTTCAACACATTCTTCGATAGATCTATCATTAATCAATGTTGAAATAGGACGAATCCCTGAATTAATAGCGCGGATTAATTTGCCTTTATTTGATATTTCTTGGAAGGGATGAACTGTAGTTGTTAGATAAAATATATTCATTGCCCACATATAAACATCAGTAGTTTCATCAAGGTCTAATTCATTTAGTAGTTCTGGTGGACAATACCTTATCTTTCTTTTCTTCCAATTCGCAACTTCTTGTTTTCTATCATGGCTAAACGATGAACTATCCATATCACTAAGCTTAACATCATATTTTTCAGTTAATAGAATATTAGATGGTGTAAGATTTAGATGAAGGACATTTTTTTTATGAAGAAATGATAATCCTTGTAATGTTTGACCAATTATTTTGTGTTGAACATCCTTGATCTGAATATAAGGATCATACCGTTGAACAGCATCAAGTAGTGATTCTCTTTCTGCATATTCCATAACAATTAATTCAGGATTAATATTACCTCCGAATATTTTAATTATATGCTCATTTTTTACTTTCTTAAGTTGATAAATTGATTCAGCAATCTGATTTGAATTATGTGGTTGTGTTAATACCTTCACACAAACCTTCTTTAATCTCCACATTCCATAATATGTTTTTGCATGGTCATTACTAAAAAGAGGAGGTAATGTAAAAGCAATATCTTTAATAGCAATAATTTTAGAACTTGCTTTTTTAACAAATATACTAATGATTAAAACACAAACGATGCATACAGCAACAACAAATGTTGTAACAAAAACAATAATTATGATTCGTTTCATTTTTAAGTTTTTTGATGGAAGTAATGATTCATTTAAAATTTCATAGCCATTTTGATTAATAAAACCAAGACGGTTTAATTGACTTTTAGGTTGGACTTCATATATTGAAAACAAAAATTTATCACGTTCTCCGTTCATATTAAAAGAAAATAATCCAGACATCCCATTGTATTGAGTACTTATAAGTCTTTCATAAATTGAGAGAGGAGAAAGTGATTTGTTAGACTGAATTTGAATTCCATGAGAAGCAACAAGCATTGCATCAAAAAGAAATGCTTGGTAGGGGACATAGTCTTGGCTCAATCGATAAGTGTGATCTCTTGAAACTGTTGGTGCAATGATAAATGTATACTTTCTGTGTTGTAATTGTTTAATAAAATAATCAGTATCTGAAGAGGCATAAATTCCAAAAAAGATAATAACTGGAATGTCTTTATCAACTTCTGATGATAAAAGTAAATTTAATGTTTCATTTGATAGATCAGTAACAATGATTGAATCGAAATGAGAAGGTAATTGAGGTCGAGAAAGAATAATTGTGTCTTTGAAGTCTTTTTTTTTAAGTAAATTAATCACATTAGTAAATAGATAAGATTTTGATGGGACTAAAGAAACACTAAGAGAACTAATATGATCACTTCCAACAAGTTTTACAAATGGTTTTTGGTTTTCAAGATAATAATCAGGAAAACGACTTTGTTCTATCCCAATAAGTACAGCCTCATTTGTATCATTACCAATAAAAAACAAATGCTCAAATGTATCACCACCACCAAATTTTAAAGTAAATTTATCATGAGTTAATGATGGTGCAAATTTTTTCCAAAGACTAACGAAAGAGCAATTTTTGGTTTCATTGTAATAAACTCTAATAACAGGAAGATGCGGTTGAGAGTACACAGCAAAAACAAAGATAAAAAACAAGATCATTTCATTTTCTTTCTTACTCAAATAATAATACTTTTAAAGTGATTTCTTTTCTTCTGAAATAATATCCTCAATTTTTTTATATTTTTAAAAAATAAAAATAATAAAAAAATAGTAAAGATATAGATTGAGATAAAAAGAGGGTTTGAATATCTTCTTTTGTTTCAGTCAAACAACATGGTTTGTTTTTATCATTTGAATAGAAACGAAAAGTAAGTTAAAGACAAGGTATTAATAAGAAATAGGCTAGAGGACCAAGACACCACTTGAAGAGATTAAATGCACCACACCATTGGATGCTTTCTAAATTAGGAGGAACTTTTGCACCAAAACCATCACATGGACCACATGGAATGAAAGAATGTCTTCCACTTATTCTCATTTTGAGAAATAGATTAAATTATGCATTAAATGGAAGAGAAGTTACAATGATTGTTAAGAACAGAACAATCAAAATTGACGGAAAGATTAGAACTGACACCAGATATCCAGTTGGGTTTATGGATGTTCTTTCTATCCCAAGAACTAAAGAAAACTTTAGATTAATGTATAACACTAAAAGAAGATTCTGCTTAGTTCCATTGACTGCTGAACAAGCAAAAGTTTGTTTTTATTAATTTTAAATTAAAAATTGTGTTTAACTTGTCACAAAGAAACTGATCAATTACATATGATGAATTTCTTGGAGAACTGAATTTAAATTGAAGACAGTTTATATTTGTTGCAAAGAACTGATGTTATTGGTAGTTTCGTGATATTTAAATGACGAGTTTATATAAACAAGAAGAATACTTATTTTATTAGTTCAAGTTATGTAAAATTGAAAAGAGAGTTCTTGGAACAGGTGCTATTCCATACATTGTTACTCATGATGGTAGAACTATTAGATATCCACATCCAGAACTTCAAGCTAATGATACAATCAAACTTAATCTTGAAACAGGAAAAATTGTTGATTTTGTTAAGTTTGATATTGGAAATACTGCTATGATGATTGGTGGTAATGGTATGGGTCGTGTTGGAGTTATTGTTAAAAGAGAAGTTCATCCAGGGTCATTTGAAATTGTTCACATTAAAGATGCTAAAGGAAACACCTTCACTACTAGATTAAACAATGTCTTTGTTATTGGTAAAGGAACAGAAACTCTTGTTAATCTTCCACTTGATAAAGGAATTAAGAAACCATTATTACAACAAGTCAATGAAACTATTAAGAAGAACAAGATGCAAAAGGCTGGTATTCAAAAAGCATCAAAGAAATCAAAGACCACTACTGAAAAGAAAGTTACACCAAAAGCTATTGTAGAAAAGAAAGAAGAACAAGTTGAAAAGATTTACAAGAAATATCCAAAGAAACAAGCAGCACCAAAGAAATCTAAAGGAAACAAGAAAGTAGTTCCAGGCAAGAAAATTGGTAAGAAATAATTCATTTAATTTTGTGTTCAAGAGAATAATTTGTATTTTTCATTTTTATTAAAAACATTTTTTCTTTAATTATAAGGAAAATTATTGATATTGATATTTTATTTATTTTTAATTAAAAAGTAATTAATTGTTTTTGTTTTGTGTTATAAATTTACTTCTTTTAAAAACTGAAAGAGAAGCACTTTTTTCTTCTATCTCATTATTAACACTTTTGGATTAAAGTGCTATTAATATAAATTGTGTTAAAAGTATAAACAATTTATTTTTCTTTTTGTGTAAAGGAGTTGTAATGAATGTAATGAAACGTTATTTAGTATTTATAATGTTATAACATCAAAAAAATAGATACAACCTCACCAATGATGAATTAATTATTTTAGAAAAGTTTGTTTGTGATATTGTGGTTATTCTAAGTCAAACACGATAAGAAAATGATAAAGAAATAAATTAAAAGAGAGTTTTGAGAGAAAATTAATGTTGAAGAACAACCATAAACTAATAAGTCATCTCTCTTCCAAAATATAAATTAATACAACAGAGTCTTAATGATTTCTAAAGAATCCAATTAAATTGATATATAAAGGAAAAATAATAATTTAAAATTTAACTAAAGCAAACTTAATTAATGAACTTTAGAAATGATTTGGATAAGATCAACAAGTCTGTTAGAATATCCCCATTCATTATCGTACCATGAAACTAATTTAACAAAGTGTGGATTCAAAAGAATAGTAGCAGCTGCATCGAAAATTGATGATCTATTGTCATGGACAAAATCTGATGAAACAACAAGATCTTCAGTATATCCAAGAATTCCTTTCATTTCTCCTTCTGATGCTTTCTTAATGGCAGCTTTAATTGATTCAACAGTTACTTCTTTTTCGAGTCTGCATGTTAAATCAACACATGAAACATCTGGTGTTCCAACTCTGAATGACATACCAGTAAGTTTGCCATTAAGAGATGGAATAACTTTTCCAACAGCCTTGGCTGCTCCAGTGCTAGCTGGAATAATGTTAGCACATGCACATCTACCTGCTCTCCAATCTTTTCCTGATGGTCCATCAACTGTCTTTTGAGTAGCAGTAGTAGCATGAATAGTTGTCATAAGACCTTCAACAATTCCAAATTCATTATTAATAACTTTAGCAAGTGGTGCAAGACAGTTAGTTGTGCATGATGCATTTGAAATAATGTTCATTTCTGGTTTGTATGCTTCAGTGTTAACTCCAACAACAAACATTGGAGCATCAGCAGATGGGGCTGAAATAATGACTTTCTTAGCTCCTCCCTTAATATGTGCTTCAGCCTTTGGAATAGTAGTGAAAACTCCAGTTGATTCAACAACATAATCAACTCCAAGTTCTCCCCATCCAATTTGAGCTGGGTCTCTTTCAGCTTTAACAACAATCTTATGTCCATTAACAATAATAGCATTTTCACCTGCTTCAACAGTTCCTTCGAATTGTCTATGGACGGTATCATATTTTAATAAGTAAACCATGTATTTTGGATCCATGAATGGATCATTGATAGCAACTAATTCAAAATCTTTTCTTTCAAGAACGACTCTAGCAACAAGTCTTCCAATTCTTCCAAAACCATTAATACCGACCTTAATTGACATAATACTTAATGAATGAAGAGAAGAGTTCAAAGTGTTGTTTATAACCGTTGTTGTACGTGTTCAACCGTAATTTCCACGTAATGAAAACTACTATTTATGTCACAAATTTTCTTATTTTTTTTATCTTTTAAAAATAAAAATGTGGTATTTCAAATAGTAAATAAAAAACAATACAAACAAAAGATAAAAAATAAGAAAATTAAAGTTGAAAAATATGTGTTAAGCTATTGGATATGTCGTGGTTCAATTGGTGGTAAATCGTGTTGAGGTCGTTTACATCCACCGTCGGTTGGTTTTGTAATACAACTTTTTGAAGTTTGTTTGTTATTAAGTTCAGGCGGTAAAGGTGGTGTGGTACAATTAATTGGTTTAGCTGAGGCCATAAAGACTAATAACTCTCTTCCTTCAAGGATAAAATGGTGAACGTCTTGAACCAAAGATAGTGCATCATTTACTGAATAAAAATCTATAAATCCAAAACCGAGAGAAAGACAATTTCTGTCGTCATAAATAACTCTTGATTGAATTGGGTTATACTGTTGAAAATAAAATTGAAGGTCATTATCATTCCATCTATAAGGAATTCCTTGAACCATTAAAGAGAGTACATTATTATTTTCTTCATAAAACGTTTGAATTCTAGTATCTGAAGGACTATCAATAAAAGGTTCATCACTATCATCTTCAAAAATTACTTTTTGTTCTGTTGGAGTTGATATATGTAAATGTGCTTCTTCATTTTCTTTTAATTCTTTAGTAGGTTCAGTGTTATTTTCATCATTTTTAATTTGTTTTGAGTTTTCAGAAAGGTTTTCTGTTAATTTAAAAGGAGTTTTAATTTCTTTTTCATTTATTTTAATTTCTTGAATTTGAGGTTTAATTTTTATTTTAGTTTTTTCTTTAGTAACTGAATTAATAATTTTTTGTAATTCAAGTTGTTGTTTAGATGATTTAAGTTTACATTTAATTTGACAATTTTCAATTATTAATCCATCAACTTTTTTGATTATAGTCTCAGCACCTTCTCTAGTTTTAACTTTTAAACTTCCACAACCAGTGAATGATTTAGTAATTTTATTAGTATCTATTTTAATACTAAAAATAATTACACCAAATGATTCTATGAATTTTTTAATTTTATCTTTTGTCCAGTTTTTAGGAAATTCTCGAAAAGAGAATTCATATAATGTTATTATTTTTTTTTGTTCAGTTTTATCTTTTCTTTGAGGAACATTATGTTGAGAAGTAGTAATACACTGACCTTTTTCTTCTTTATTTGGTTGACTAAGTTTTAATGAAAATACTTTTCCTCTATATTTAATTCCATTAAATTTCTGTATTACTTTATTTGCTTCATTTAAACTAGAAAAATAAATAAATGCATACCCTTTTGATATTTTAGACTCTTTATCATAAATTATTAATGCTTTTAGTGGATGAAATTCTTTAAAATATTCCAATACATCATGTTCTTTCCAAGTAAATGGAATATTAAATATACGTACTGTTATTATGCCTTTTAATGAAGATGAATTTGATTGTTTTAAAGCGTTAGTAAAAAAACTGATTTGTTTTGGTTGTGAATTTGCGTGTTGTAAATAAAGTTTATGTCCTTTGATTATTTTTTCATTATAATTATCTATAACATTATTTGCAATAATTGAAGTGTAGAAATAAATAAATCCATACCCTTTTGAAAGGTGAGTCTTTTTATCAATTGGGACATTTACTTTTGAAGGTGAGCATTGTTTAAAATAATTTTGTAAATCATCTGTTTTCCATTCATTAGGAATTCCTTCAACATAAACGCATTGGAGCTGTACATTATTTTCATGTTTAAGTTCATTTTGTATTCTCATCTTTCTTTCATTTTGAGTTATATTCACTGTGTAAGGTTTATTAATTGATTGTAATTGTTCTTCAGTATTATTTATGTTAGTTGACATATTTTATATAACTGAAAAAACTGAATGAATAACAAATTTTTTTATTTCATATTTTTTATATTTTTTGAAAATAAAATTTTTTTATAATAAAATTTTATTATTAGCTTCTAAAACAATCTTGAGTTACTTCTTGTTTATATTTAACTAACTTTTAAAATCCCAAATTATACAGATAATGGGCATTATTGAGTCTATGAAAATAGTTTTGGTATTTGATAAATTTTCTTTTTTAAGAACAAGTATATTTGTTTTTTGACTTTTTATGGTTTTGTTTAATGAAAATAATTAGGGAGTAAAAACAATAAATTAGAAGTTAAAAGAGAATTGATTTTGATCAATAATAAGTTCTCCATTGCTTTGAAGAACACTACTGAGTAAATTGTGATTAATTTCAATTAAATCCATGATTAAGTTATCAAATGGAATGATTTTATTTGAAATATAGATTCCAGTGATATTTTCAAGTCTGTTAATTCCAGATTTTCCATCTGTTATTTTAGTTTCTAATTCAACTCCATATTCACGAAGAATGTCTTCCATTAAATGAATTACTTCGATTTTTTTATTGTTTTGATATCTCCTTATTGCTGTTTTCTCAGTCACTCCTCGTTGAATGTCAAACAAGTACATTTCATTACATCGTTTTTTAAGGAATGAATAAACATCTAATTTATCTTCATCATGTTCAATTGAATTAATTCTGAAGAATTGTTCAGTTACACAACTTCTTCTAGTTGGTTTTTTAATAGTTATACGACACCATTTACTTAAAAGACAAATACAAAGTGTTTGTTGAAGAGTGAAATTGTTTCTAGCTTCTCTTGATGCTCTTAATACAGGAATTCTTTTTTCAATAGGTGTTTTACATACTCTGTTTTCATCCCCATTAATTTTAATTTCAGGTGGAAGAGTACAACCTCTAATCCCTTGTTCTTTTATTTCTTCGATTTCGAACTTAAATGGATTAAACATTACTTGGCTTTTCCAAGATTAGTTTTTGCTTAAATATCAAAAGTTTCGTTTTATCCATATTCTGATCTCATTTTTTTTGATTTGTTTTGTTAATAATTTCGTCATCATTTTCGTTTTAATCTTCTTTGAGTGTTGATAAATTAACCAATAATTTCTTGGTTTTTTTAATAAAAGACTTCATTTTTAGGTATGACCCAGCCGGAGATATGATAAGAAGCTGTTATTAATTAAGAGTTATGGGGGTAAGAAATATAGTTTGTTGAGTATCCTAAGTTCTTTAGAATATGAAGTACTTTGTTTTAGAAATACTTAAAGTATTAAAAAATAGTTTATAAATATTACAAATGAACAAAGAAGAATAAGTACAATAACTATTATAAGAAACTAATGATATTTATATAATAGTTAAAAGATTAAATGTTTTAGATAGTTTTTTAATCAAATATAGACATTTAGAAAAACTATTTATTTTTTTATTTTTTGAATGGTTATTTTATTTTCTTTATGAAGAAAAGGTTACTTTTAGAATTAAATATATTACATTCTTGAAACAACATACTTCTTTTTATTTATATTTTTAAAGTATTTATTCTTTATTATGTAAATATTGATTATTTTAATTAATTAAAGACATTAAATATAACAAGAGTGTTTAAAAATAATATATTATTTTGTTTAATCACATAATTAAAAATTAAAGAAAATATGTTTTCCAACTCTTAACTAATAATCATTCAATATTAAAATGATTATTATTTTTTGTTTAATTATTATTATAACCTTTATAATATTCAAATAATCTAATAAAATAATGTATTGTAAATTACAATTTATTCCTAAAACTTATGAAACTTCTATTATTAGTTCATTGAGTAATAATTATTTTACTATAAGTATTTTAAATTAGTGTAACTTAGAAGTAACGGTTTATACTAACACAATTATTATCCAATTAATAATTTATAATTTATAATTTAAAAATATTTATCAATACTATCTTAGAATTTTTATAAAAAAAACTCCATTACTTTATCTTTTAAAACTAGAAGTAATTTATTTGTTCAAAGTTTATAATTTATTATGTCTTGGTAATAATTTAATTAATTTTTAATAGTTCAAATAATCATTTATTATTATTATTGTACCTTTCATTTCCATATCACAACCTTTATAATATTTCTTCTATAATCATTCAATTTTTTCTATAATTTATAATTTAATTCTATATCTTGTTTCGATCATTTATTTTTCCTTTTAAATATTAATTTACTTTTATTTCTTATTTCTTTGAAAAAGAAACATATGATTTATTGCTTCTCAAAAATAATGAATTTATATTTATTTTATCATTATTTCCATTTTTATATAACTAATAGTTATTTGATTTACAAACATGATAAAAAGAATTATTTTGGAGTTACTGACATGTTATTTAATTTTAAAGACAAAATACTTAATGATATAAATTTTAGTTGTAGTACAAGAAATTT